CTGCGATGCATGTAATTCTCATAATTCAAGAAACAAATTCATGTGCATGAGTCCTTATAGACTATCTCAAGTTCTAATCAGGTCTATCTAATAAGATAAGATTCATCTCAAAATTAATTTATCTATATTACTATCTTCATATTTGACTCAAATTCTAAGTGACAATGAGATAGTTCTCTCTCATATATCAATAGAGTTATTCTATATTCATTCGATTTCGCTTACACTCTGATTGATATGAATAAAAACAATTTTCTCTAATATTTGTTTATAGAATAACATCTATTAGATTTAGTACAAGTCCTTCTGAATTGATAATTCAACAAACAACAGATGGTGATAGTGATCTTGAAGCTGATGTAAATACTTTACCAAATTTAAGTGAATTTATTCCGAATGATGTCCTTCAAGTTTTATATCAAACACGAGAATGGAAATTTCAAACAACCATTAATGAATTAATTCATACGGAACGTACACATTTAAAAAGTTTAAAAATTATGGTTAAATGTTTTCGTGAACCAATGGAACGCTTTCATGGTATGAGTCCAGTTGAACTTGATTGTATATTTCGAAATCTTGATCAACTTATTCATTTACATAGTAAGAATAAATTTATTTTATTTATCAATTAAAAACAAAAATAATGTTTTTTTTTTCTTTTTTTTGTCTAGCTCAATTTAAATATGCACTTCGTCAACATCGTGAAGAAGCTAAAGATCATGTTGTACGAAATATTGGTGATTTACTTCTTAAATTTGTATGAAATTCTTAGTTAATTTTTTTTTTGTGCACATAAAAATATATTTTATTTCCTCTTTTTTTTTAGCTTGATGGTGATAAAGGTGAAGAATTTGCTCGTGCTTGTGCATATTTTATTGAAGATCAATCACAAGCATTAAAATTAATTAAAAAAAAAGAACAATCACCAGATTTTGCATCACTTATGCGAGTACGTTTTTAATTTTCATTCAAAAGAAAACAAAACAAAAAAGAAGATTTGAATAAAAATTTTTCTTCCTTTTTTTTTTGAAAGATATGTGAATCTAATCCATTATGTCGTCGTTTAACATTAAAAGATTATTTACCATGTGTAATGACACGTTTTACAAAATATAAAATGTTATTTGAAGCAATGAAAAAATTTGCTTCAGAAGATCATATTGAATCAGAAAAATTAAATCGATGTATTGAATGTGCCGATAATATATTAAAACATATGAATGGAGCACGTTTGAAAAAAGAACAAGAAGCATTATTAAAACAAATTAAATCAAATCTTGATATACAAATACCAAATGATGAAAAATTACAAAATCTTCAAGTAAAAATTGAGAAAAAAATTTCTTGTTTTTTTTTTTGAAATTGCCTTTTTTTTCTCTTTGTTAGGATTGTCTTGAACCAACAAATAATCGTTTAATTTATTCCGGTGTATTAAAACTATTACCTGATTCAACAACACAAAAAACTGAATTCGAATGTTGTCTTTTTAATGATATATTTGTTTTTTTTCAAAAAATTCCCATACAATCATTAGAACAACGTGGTATTGAAGAATCATATAAATATGTTTTAAAAGAACATCAACGTGATGCTACTAGTGGACGTCATCAACGGCCACGTACAACTTTAAATCCTAATAAATATCCAAGTGGACAAAATTTTATTTTAACACCAATTATTCGACTTGAACATTTATTAATTAAGAAAAAAGCATGTGGAGGTAATTAAAAACAAAAAAAAA